CCCGCCCGTCACTCACCACCCCTGACATCTCGCTCCTCACTCCCCGCTTCTCAATCCCCGCTTCTCACTCCCAGTCCTCACTCCCCGCTCCACACATCCCACTCATCACTCCCCGCCTCTCTCTCCCCCTCCAAATCTCCCTGCTCCACATCTCCCTATTCAGCATCTCCCCGCCTTTCCTCGCACCTCCGCCTGTGTTTACCTATCCTATTCCCTGCCTCCCCTGCCTCCTCTCGGTTCCATTCCGTCACGCCTCGTCTCACGCCATATCTCCCTACGTACCCTAACGTGCCTCACTCTGCCGTCACTTACGCACACTGCTTCCCCCTGCACCTCTCTAATTTACTACTCCTTATCCTAGCACACCTTTCTCTCGATTCCTCGCTGAGACTTCCCATATCGCCGTATCGATTAATCTAACTATTCTTAGTTTACTAATCAATCAATCATTCAGTATTGTGATTGCGGTTTGAATCGTAAATCATTGTATAAATCATGTAATGTATATCATCTGAACCTGAAGAGGCGATGGATGTCCACGGGAGGTGCGAAGCGATCTGCAGGAGCGTGGGAATTTGCAAGAGGCTACAATAAAAATACATAAAAACCGCAGCCAAGTCTAATTAAAGTAGAAAAAAGCTGTTGCAAATTTTCCGCGTAACCACGTGGAAAAACCTCTTGCAGCTGACTAATATAGTTTATTGTGCTAGGAACTCTGAATACTTAATACCAAGTTGTTTAACGATTACAATTACAAAAAGTTATAAAATCAAGTCAAAAACTGTGTTAGGTGTGTTTGCTGCTCCCTCACGCTCAAAATTCTTTAGGAATAGTGGAGTGAAGGCAAAAGCCAGGCTCTCAGAGACGTTTACCAGAAGAAGCGCGCCACTGAGCAGCAGTATGCTATCTTATCGGAGGCAATTTATGACGTCTTTGAACTACGTCAGTACATTTTGACAGTCTTTTTAGACTTCACTTAGTGGTTCGACTCTGTTAGAAATTAGATGTTAATATTTAAACTAAAATCGGTTACCCAGATGTACACATATTAGAGAGGTTTTGTCTATCAACTGTCTATCGATCAACTATCAACAGTATTCAAATGTCAGTACTTTCTGCCACCCTAATTCTAAAGGCAAAAACCTGAAATATTAACCATCCCGAAGCCCGCTTTCATGCAAAAATGTGGATGAATACACATACACTATCGTCTACTGACAAAAAGGGAACGCAAAAAAGGAGTTCAACATGACTGGTGGCATGTGTGCTTGTTAGATGTAAATAAGAATGTGTTAATGTCTGAAGATGAGGAAAGAACATCTCCGAAACTTTATATGTAAATAATTATGAAAAGTAAGGTGATTGTCAATAAAACATCATTGGACCTTACTTTTTTGTTACTTGGTTTATTTTTAATTTATAAATTTCTACATTGGAGCACATGAAAATGTGACCTCAAGTATCAGATTCCACCATTCGGTAAATATACAACATTATTTTGTGCTAAGGCCTCTCAGTGCTATATAAAGGTTATTGACCGCTCGACATTTTTATGTGCAAAAAGTATTGCCTCATGCAAGTGATGAAACACTCTTATTTAACATCTATTTTTATGAAGTATCGACGATTCATGTTCCCCAAACATATAAAAGCGTCATAAGTGAGCCGACGTTGTTTGTTTGGTACCAGGAAAACGAATACATGTACAATAGCTTTTGGAATAACAGCTGAGATTACAGGAAACGACAGAATAACCCATAACCATATTTGTTCATGAAATGATCTTTAGAGTTTATAATCAATATTGCTTTTTATCTGGTAAAGATTAAGAGATTCTCTTGAAGTTAGTACCGAACTTTATGGTTATTAAACATTCTGGAAATCCAAAATTCTCTTTGCCTACTTTCGAATAGAATAACGCGGTGTTTTATTGGATTTACGTATACATGTTTCGTACTCGTATACATGCGTGCACAGTTATTTAAAATTGTGTTCTTCCCTCGTAATGGTTTTTTCTTCAGTTATTTACTGAAGTGATCGCGAAGAGAGATTCCCGGCATCGTGGCGACCTTGGACGATCAGATGAGTTGGTGAGATGCGGAACGAGTTTTGTCTTAGGGTCCGTCTTCAGCGTGGGAATTCCCGAACGATGACTCACAATTCACCTCCAAGCCACTTCGCCTGCTTCACGCCCCACTGCTCACTAGGTTTAGGTTTCTTCCCATCTTTTTACTTATTAGGCTTTCAAATATCTTCCCAAAACTATTAAATTCGATTTCTATCGAAGCTTTTTTTAATCAAGATTATACATGAAAGTGATTGGATGTTTGAAGTTTGAGGCAAACTAAATTAGCGTAGGCGGATATCACAGACAAAAAAAACCGCTGGGTTAAGTGTCGATCGAGAAAATTAGTAATCGAAAACTTACTTGAACTTCATATCTTTATGAGAGAATGCAGTCAGTTTCTAGTTTTACTTTGGTGAGCCCAAATAAAAATTTAATTACTTTAGGGGATCTCAACGTGATAAACCCAACGTTCCTACCCATGTGGTATAATCAACGGATTCTTAATATAGCGCTATGCCTGGAGTTATTCAAAATAAAATAATAATATTTTCAAACAAATTCCATGAATTTTATTCTACCATTATTTAAATATTTATGTCGCTCTACAACACCTTAACCCATGTAAAGTGTATTCAATGACTAATTTGTCTAATTGAGTTCTAAGAACAGTTACAACAACGACAAGAAAATATTTATTTCTTTTTTGTTTGATTTTTGAATTTCTTGCAACATATCGTACACATGACTATACAATTACATTTTATAGTAATTCACATTTGCATAGAATAATTAACAAGGTATAATGATCGTTACGCTAGATAGCTTACTCAATGAATTTCATTTTCAAGGAAAATCGAAAAATACCACCTAAATACTCGATCTGAGTCCCTTATTTATCGAATACGTCGAAGTGTTATTTTGTAATCATTCTTCTCATCCCGGCTTTTTCTTCGCCTGTTTCTCTCCTATTCGTTTCCCCACCTCCTTTCGCAGAGAGCTCCGTCTGAGCGCGCTGCGCGGAATATCAAGCTGCGCGGCGGAAGGCGCGTGAGATATCGCTCCGCCGGTCGATTTCTCGCGAAGAAACCCGTTCAGAGGACGCGTTCAGTCACGCGCGCCGCGGGGGCGAACTGTTTTCTTATCTGGCAGCGCCGCCTCTGCGAGGAACCGGAAGCTGCGACTCCTCGCCGTGCAGTTGCCCGCTCGCAGTGGTGGATACGGGCGGGGGGGGGGTATGGTGGCCATGGCCTCAACAAACAGCCTCGAGGTTTCGTTTTTTACGTTCCTTTTTTTTGGTAAAATTGTTTTAAATATTTATTTATGTTAGAATTATGTATTTAAAAAATAATGTTGTATAGTATCATGAATACACTACCCAAATTATACACAAAATAATAACAAATATTAAACAAGTATTCAAATGAAGATGGATATTATTATATGGGCATGGTATTATATGTTATGAAATAAAACAATATAATACATTGGAGTCAATCGGCATAACTGACTCCAATGTATTATATCCAAAGTACTCTATTTTAGCTCATAACGTTGTCGCTAGCCTGATGCTGAGGTAAAAAATATCTCCGAAACTTCACCATCAACAACATTGATATCCTGTGTCCTGCTTGTCCTGTGAAGTAATGTGAACATTAATATGTTTTAGTAATTAACTAACATGAATGTCTATAATACACATGGCACTTTATTTTAATGCATGTGTAATCAACAAAAGATAGTTCTTAGGTCTACCGGTCATAATATAATAATAACAAATATGTTTATTATTTACAAATATCTATGATGGCCCCTCCCAAAACGGTCGGCTGGATCCGCCCCAGCCCGCGCGAACCACCCCGCCTCGCCACTCCCAATCCCACCTTGCTTCTTCCCTACCCTTCTTTCCCCGCTCTCCCCGCCACTTGTGCCTGTCGGCTCTCGTGACGAAATCCTGCGAGCAAAAAACATATGCTTCACTTAATAATACGTTAGGTCCAAAGGATTTTGAGGTGGTCGAACGAAAAAATTTTGTTTTCTTTTCCGTATTCCATTAAGCACTAATACTGAAAGTTGAACTTAAAGCAATCTACCCAAGTCCAACAACAACTTAGTAATACTAATGGCAGGCTAAAACTTTCTTTATAGGAAAACGTCAAGTCGGCTGAACAACTAGTCATCACCCTCCCCCACTTCACCAGAAGATAGGAAAAGTTTATTTCTTTTTGTTTCTACTTATTACTTATTGCGAAATATTTCTCGAATATTCATGATATTTCAAGTACTTCCATATTTTCCCGTCATATTTTAGGACATTAATTACAATTACATTTACTATTAGTAAATGTCCAAAAGTACGCGAGAAAATGTTTTAATGAAGTATTAAAAATGAGTTTTTAAAATACGATTTTTTTTCGCGAATAAATATGGAAGAGCCATTTGCAGGAGGCACGGTAGAAATTGCTTCTCAA